CATTCTCACTGATCTCAAAAATATGGCGGGCTGTCATGAATAGCGAACACTGTGATTGGTCCAATTTAAAGTTTGCATTATAACGACTGCATGACGACAGCGAAATAGCAAACATTTCTTTATTTGATGATTGATAAATTTCTTGCAAATATATTTCATTTTTGTAAGGTTTTGTAAATTTTAAGAAAGAAATGGCGAAAGAATCGGCTAAAAGAAGGGAGCCGACGTTAACGAAGGTAAGTTTGTTTTAAATATTGATTTTATAATTGCTTTAAACTATAAAACAAGACAGCATATCGGGCCCCATTTCAGTGTATCTTTAATATTGATTCCCTTTTTTATTATATTGAATTTTTTTAAATAAAAAAGAAAGCAAAGTTATTTGCATGCGAGAATTTGAAATCATTTTATTGGAAACTCAAAGTTTATCGATAAAGCCATTTAATTAAAGAATATAAAAGGCAGTTTAGTTTTATAAAGAACACTTTAAAACGTTTTGCGAAGCGTTTGTGGTTGAATTTTACCTTAAATTGAAGCTTATATTACGTATAATATCATACCTAATATATATATGTTGGGAAATTGATAATTTTGTATTTAAAAGTGTATTTTTAAGCGATTGTTCATTTGTAAGAATATTCTTAAGAAATTATCGTGTTACCATGACAACTACTTTAGATACTTCATGTTCGGAAAATACAATGGTTTTGTCAGCAAGGCGAGGGTTTCTGCCACTGAGCTATACTATATTACTGGAGGACCTGCTCGGGAAAAAAAAGTGAAGCCAAAAACATGGCGGATTTCGGCCTTTGCTGACGCCATTTCCATGACAACTGGTCCGTATTTCTCATGGTAATTACCACTGACCAGGCTCGGATCTGAGCCCGCTACAATTTCCACACCCCCTGGCACAGAATACTACTGTAGTATTCTGTGCCCCTGGTTTTCTTTAAAAAAACTTTAGGTTTTTGCAATTTTGCTCGAGTTTTGTAGTATTTTCTCGATATTTGAATCGATTTTTAAAATGTTTTCGAGATATTTTTCCTAAATTTGGTTATTGGTTCAAAGATGTGCAAGTCATACGTGTTATTCTTCCCGGGAAAGACAACAAAATTCAAACCACGCTGTCCTCGCAAAATATGACCAAAGCCAAAGAGGATATTTGAATCAGCGAGTTATAAACAGGTATTTGACCGTATTTCATTCAATTTTATTTATGCTTTATCTTATCTCACATAAAATTGGTAGGCTTAACTTAAGCTTGACGATGAAATGCACTCTTTTTGTTAAGAAAACAGCC